GTCTGTCCTGTTATTGACAATGAATTTCGTCATAACATTGTCAAAGTAGTCTGCGGATCCACAGCTTTGACAATGTTATGACGAAATTCATCATCAATAACAGGACAGACGCATGAAAAACTGATGTCAATTTGTTAAATCTGGCTTACTTACTACGTCATAGTTGCCACTAAAATGTTTCTAATTTTTTAAAATATAAGGGAATGTGCATTTTTTTGCTTAAGCAACGTGAGCACCTTGGCTATCACAAACTAGATCTGTTCGAATTCTTTTCTTCACGCCTCTAGTGTTTGCCCTGATCTACTATTTCCCATTTTGATTTGAGTTCCATCGAATCCATTGTTAATTGGAATTTCCAGCATTCAAAACTGCAGCCATGATACCAGCAGTAATCAAAAACAGTGAAGATTTTACAGAGGTGGCAAACCCTTTTGGATTCCTAGAAATAGATTATAGTGCTAACGTCAGAAATATCAATAACATTTTTTACGATAACTGAAGAAATTCTCGTGCTCTCATTGGCTGATTTTTATTGTCAATAAGCGGACAGACACATGAATTTATAATTTATGCGATGCGCCAACGAGCGAGAGCGAGTGCGAAAGCGGACAATTTGAGAATTTGTTATTGTAAAAAACAAATTGACGTCAGTTTTTCATGCGTCTGTCCTGCTATTGACACTGAATTTCGTCATAACATTGTCAAAGTAGTCTGCGGACCCACAGCAATGTTATGACGAATTTCATGATCAATAACAGGACAGACGCATGAAAAACTGACGTCAATTTGTTAGCTTTGTGGTGACTTTACAATAAATAATGAATTAAGCTGAAAACCAATCGACATCTATCTTCCGATATCATTTTTCAATTGGTCTGTACTAACAGTGTTTGTCCCTTTTTTAAATTTTTTTTTTTTTTTCTTAAGGGCTATCTGTTTACGGCAGTATTTTACTTGCCTTTTTGTATTGTGGGCCGGCATGCCAATGAGTAGTAATCAACATCAAGCTGGTTTTATTAAACGATCATAATTATGTGCACCAGTTTTAAGATTTATTATATTCGGACCACCTATCTCTCTAGTCTGAGTCCTTAAAAGGATTCAATCCCAGGGCCTAACAGAGTAGGTATACAAGCATACACTACACTCTACGCATTATCATAGTAACCAAACATCAATCATGATAAATGACTGAGCGCTTCGAATTCCTTTGCCCATCAACGCAAGAGTCATCGTGCACGCACTTACACTGTGTAACTATCGATACTAAGACTGACATTAAAATAGTTTCTTTAATTTAGAAGTTAAGATATGACCTTTGCATGCCTCTTACACTATGTACAGAAGGTAAAACTAACCTGCAATTTTTGTAGTGAATTATTGTCCTGTTCCTGTAGCCAGCTTCCTCCAGAAAAAGACATTCACGAGAGAGCGGATGATCAGCGCACAAAATATGGCGCACGTCACTGCCAAATAGAGATGGATGGAAACTAGATCAACGGCTGCTTCAGTTCCGTTTAATTTCAGGACAATACAATGCAACGGAATCCGGGAAAAGCACTAATAAAAAGGTGGGAAACGATAAAGCGTATAACAAACGATAAAGCGGAAAACCTCACGCTCATCTGACAGCAGAAAAATATTATTAATTCCAAAATTTGAAACTACGGTGTATACAGGAAATAGACAAAAACAACCATAACAGTGAGCTTTTCATCCTAGCATTGACCAGGAAACATTTAAAACAATTTTTTGTATTTATTCATTATGTCTTTGCCTGTTTTCTTTCCCCTTTGGAGGGGGGTCAGTGGGGGGACGGTTTTGCATCCAATTGCAGTTGTAAAACAAGTGGTTGAGAGAGGCACATAAAAACGTTAGCAAAAACAAAGACAAATAAATTACACACAACTGAGTTATAAATTCTTACTCCGGGTCGTCATGACAACTGACGGGTATTCCTATGTCTGTTGCGTCATCCTGGAGCTGCTTGATAGAATCTTCCCCACACCTTTCACTGTAAACATGTCAGTGAACGACACAACGAGTCAAAAATTAAACCCTCTTGTAGGTAGCCGAGTATTATTGGGTCTATATCTGTATAATATATGTAGTATGGGATAATCTGTATCATATAACGATTTTAGTCTCGCCTTTCTCGGCACACAAGTATTGTTACCTTTGAAGACACGCGAAACAGTGAATTTCCTAGTTACACAATGTATACTGTTTATGGTTCAGGGTGTTGATGTAATGCACACATATACATCTACAGCAAGCTCGCCTGAGCCGTTTTTGTAAGATTTTCATTAAATGAAACCATGATCGAAATGCAGTTATAGTGAAGGGGTGTCATCTTCTGTAACTGATCAAGAGCAAAAATAGGCTCTCGTTACATTTGGATTTAGTATCATCATTTTTGCCTCGCTAATTCGATTAAATATGGAAACGTTGACGGATGAAATTTACCAGCTCTTCAACTTATTCTTTTGATTTTGACCTCGTTATATGATCCATGTAAAATTTGAGACTAACCCGTTGTTATATGTGGGACTCTTAATTAATTCCAAAAACAAAAAGAGGAAAACGTTGCCATCAAAATGTATTAAATCGCTAAGCGATTTTGTACATTTATGACCTCAACAACGTGTTTGAGTGCTTTTTTGCGTGGCAAAAGGTAAAACAACATACACAGATTTTACAGGAAGTATCTACTTTAAATCTCTCTGGTGAGTTTAACGGGAATATATATGCCTCTGCACAACTGGCGCAAGGTTTCTTACTGGGACCTTAATGCTTTGCAAGAAGGTGAAGTGCGATGGCTGGTTTGCAGTGTCATGCCATCAAAAATAAAAATCGTAACCATTCAATAAATTATGTCAAGAAGCTGAGATGTGAAAGATGACTGATATATAAACAACCCCGCCAAGATTTAGGTCTGTGCGGTTATTCATTCGCGCGTAATTCAGAAAAGTGTTTGACCCAAACTTATAGAGCTTTGTATGGAGACGCAATGTTGGTGCCATTCCGGGAGGCACCAACATGGCGGCCGTAAAGTAACAGAAACATCTGCCATTGAGTTTTGCCATCGAAACGAACAGTTATTACTTTAGAGCTCTGACACATTGAAATTAATACTTCCTCTAAAGCAAGAACTGTTTATTAAGCAAAAACTTGGGCAATAACTAATCTTTTGACCTACTCGAGAGCCTTTTAATGTCACGCAACGCATAAACTTGGAAATTCAAACGTGCTTTATTACATAATGAGGAACCCAGCAGGGCTTAAACGTTGCCAAACGTCAAGTCTTGAGAGGGTCTTGCATCTGATGAAACTGAAACTTCAGAGGAAGTGATAATTTTTTTATTAATTCCTTTATATTTATTTTTTACTTTTATTTTATTTTGGAAAATGATGACGTCACATGAACAGTGTTTTCCGATGATAGCGCCAGTATAGTACTTGCGGGAGTAAAAAAAGTGCAATATGTTTTCATAAGCAAGCGCATAGGCGTTCGGGCACCTTCGGACTTGGGTGGCGGTGACTCTCTTGCCCGAAAAATTTACGCAATGCCCGAAGACGAGATTGTTGAGATCGGGGTGCAAACGCACTCAAATTGCATGAAAAACAAAAACGTTCACAATTCCCACATCTAATGAAACTGCAATAATTCCAAAAATAGTTTTGTACATAAGCAATCAATCGTACCCAATCAACAGCCTCAATCCGACTAAGATCTAAAAACGTATTAGAAGAAAAAACATCAAGAGAAAGTTACTAACGAGAAACTTTATTTACGAGTTTTGGAAATTACGCAAACAGCATTATTTTGCAGTGTTTACTCTTCAAGTGTCTTTGCCCAAATCAATAGCGTTTTGCCCGAAAATTCACATAATTTCCGTAGCTGGGGGTTCCTCGACCCCCCCCCCCCACCCTTCCCCCAGCTCGTACACCTATGAGCAAGCGATCAAACGACCAAACGATCTAAAATTTCCTAGCTGCAAAACTAAAGTGTTTACTCACTATTCCGTCCCATTTATTGTATGGATTACGATGATCATCAGCTCGGTAATTTTCTCCACGTGAAATCTTGGCAGCTCGTAATTTCCAAAATAGCTTGGAGAAAAGATAAAAGGGAAAATGGAAACTACTTGTTAGTTTGTTGAATTGCCAGTTAATGCATAGCATAATTAGAACAAAGCTGAAGCTTTGCAATGTTGCCCATGCAGAGTCAACGTTTCACGTCACATACCCATCACATCCCATGAGCGACCCTCTCTAATTAAAACCAACATGAAGAGCGAGGGCCCTGGAAACGTCTCTGGTTTGAAATTCAAAAATTGTTGTCGAACTCAACCGTATCTAAAGGTCCCTAAAATGCATCGTTCTTACCTGTCTCTCTTATAAGCTGGAATATGATTTCCCTCTCGAGAAACTCTGGAACCATTCACCATGACTCGTGCGATCCCTCGGGCATGCTCTGCAAACTTTGAAACAAAATTATACATTCAAAATTAGATCCGGCAGTGATTAGGAATATTTTTACAACCTGCTCGTTCATTAGCTTGTTCATAAGTTCATTGATCATTCTTTCTTTCGTTTCATCGTTAAATCGTTCCCTCTTTCCCACGTTTGCTACTTTTACATGTAGCTATTTACTGAACTGAAGTTGATTAAGGTTAATTATTTAATTATTAACTTCGTTAAAGGCATTTTTAGCTTTCTGATTGGTTCACTGAATCTCGGTTTCCAGTCATACCACTGACATTACACCTGTTTATGACCATATGACTGAAGCAAGTAAGTATCGCTTATTGAAATTTCAGTCGAAAAAAAAAAAATTAAGAGAGATCTTGGGTGAAGCTTTTACTTTTACATTCTACTTCCTATGTACATATTTTATTTAACTTACTATGCTAGAAGCTTGACCCCAAAAAGGCGTCGTATAATCGCATTTCTTGCTCCAATTTGGACAGGAATTGTAGTCAATGCCATCAGTTGTATTCCGAGACAAGTTTCCATTTCCACAAAAGGTCAATTCATTTACGATCCATCTAGAAAACAACAACACAAAACCAGAAACAAACAACGATCGGACATCAATTTCTCACTTCTTTCTCAAATTCCAATAACCATCCCCCACCCCCCATCCCCATGCACTACCCCATCTTTTCTGGTCTATCTCTGCCTCAGTCAGTGTGCTCATGAAAAAAGCTTCAATCAGAAAATAAGCATGTACAAGGAAAAAGAAGATACAATGGAAATTTTAATTTAAATACGCTATCTGAAGCCATCACTTATATCAATGCGAAAGCATTTAAGAATTTCAGTGGTGTTAACTCTTTCCTTACCCAGCCATGGTGTCTTCTAAGGTTGTGAAGCGCACGTCAAATTCTGAATAGGAATGCACAGCTTTGTACGTTCCTGACCAAAACAGGCTCTATGAAAGAAGGGAAGAGGAGAACAAAGGAAAATCTAAACAAACTATATCGGGTATAATTATTGAGGTCGGCACAAACTAAGGGGACATTTTGAGTGGACGTGACGCGCGGGGACAAGGCCGGTTGTGTGCATCAGCTGTACGCATAGAACACAATTTCGAGCTGGTGCACACGATGCGGTGTGACAAAATTCAAAGGGAATGTCTCACGGGGAAACTGTGGCTGCAACACGTCTCCGGGGGAGAACAATTTCCTTCGCTTATACATTTGTCCCCTAATGTGCCGACCTTACAAATTACGAACCCAATTGTTGAGGGTCCTTGTCTTTGTCAGACGAATGAATGAATGAATGAATGAATGAATGAATGAATGAATGAATGAATGAATGAATGA